TGGGTTTAAAAAAAAGCCCAAAGGCAACTTTAATATTGCTTATTTAGTTGTGAAAGTGTGAAGTAGCTCACCTGGGTTATTGCTTCACAACACTGGATGAATAATATCAGCAATATTCAGCTTTTATATGTGGAAACATGTGAGTGATAGAAAAAATAATAGCTTATTTTGTTTTCAGTGCTTAAAATGTAGAATAATTGGTTGTGGCATAAACTTAAGGTATTTATGACTGTTTGGCAAGAGTTAGTTTCACGTAAGGAGGGGTTTCATAGAGGACCAGAAGATTCAACAAAGACCCCAGAGCAAGAGGGGGCTCAGTTTTCATTATAACAGATGCTCAAAAAAGGAGATAACTTGACATCCACTAAAAAAAAAACCACTCTTTGAGATTTTGCAATGCAAATGTTGTTTTATAAACAATTAACTCCATATTTGCAATGCACAGCTTCTCTGATAGATATATTATAAAAWGCCTGTTAGATGTTCCCATTTTTAGTGTTGATAATGTGGCTCCAGTCCCGGTCAGATAAATACTCCCCATGCAGAAGACAAAAGCCCATCTGGAGGAGCCAGAWATGGTTTTTACTCCACTTTTTCATTTCTCCATATGATACACTCCTGCTCTGTAACGGTGCTAACAGGCTCGTAAGAAGCAGGAGTAAAGTGGTAGACTGACAGTCCATTAAGGTCGTCTTCAGGGTCATACAGTCTGCTGGTTGAAGCACCAATCAAACCCCAACTCGAAGGTTTCACACAGCTTTACTCTTTTAGTGCGTTTCTGTGCCGCCGCAAGGTGAACAGGCTGTTCAGGAGAGTGGGTCTGCTGCAGTTCCCTCACATTGTCCTGTGGTGTACARGCCTCACACACCTGCCAAATTTAGCTCCTCTCTCCCTCAAATACAGAAACTGTCAGGCTGATTAAACCCACAAGCTTTCATTCTCTATTTTTAACAAAGATTTGGATGTTGCAAGGTTTCTGCTTTTGCTCTAAAGCAGAAACAGAAACCATTTTTAAGAGTATTACCACTGCGTTAAACATTAAATCTGGATTCAGACTGTGATTTACTGCCAGGGTCGTTTTCATAATAACCTTGTCTGTGCATGGGGAATAATGAGGATTTTATTTTTACATGAGCTCGGGCTGGTAATGTTACCATCATCTGCATCGTGCATCTGACTTCCTTCACAGTGGAGAGAGAAAGAGCTGAAAGACGAAGCGTCATCGAGGAGACTGAAGAAAGTATCTAATCCACTTAAAACCAACTAGAAACACTGCAGAATCTGAGAAGGTTGAGGTTTTCAGAGTGAAGAGAGAAASACAGCTAACAGGATATGGAAGGAAAATAATAAGGGATGTTCTGACCAAAAGGCTTTTGCTAACTCACTAGAAAGTGAATAAATAGCTGTTACTCTGGACATTTTGCATTTACCATATAAATGAGTGGTTTAAGATGGCTTTATTTGTGGACCTGCTCATATATCTTAGAGGAAAAACACAAAACTGTCCTAGCTGAGCAATATAATGTTTCAACATTTTTGCCCTGATTTATTAAAAATCAAACAACAAAACCCAAGCTTTTATTCCTGATCCTAAATAGTAACTTCCACTAGATTTACTATATTTCTGCATGCATCTATAATAAAAAAACAATGAGTTAAGCTTCATTTTACCTCAAAGGTTTTCACTAACAGGACAAACAAAAACTTTTTATACATTATTTTTACTGTGTCCTGTCCAGCAGTATGGAAATCAGTATTTATTTCTCAGTGCCAAGGTTAGGCCCCAACAGTTTTTTTTTTACTTTCACAAGCACAGAATAATGGCTTTCACCATGATGCTCCACTTGATACATATTTAAACTTTATTAGAAATTCTTTTTGGATTATTTCAATGTACTGGACACGGAGACGGAAAATAAAACAGAAAAGAAAAGAAGAAAGGTGAAGACAGACATTAAAAGGGAAACAATGAGATAATAGTAGAGAAAAGAGAACACAAGAWAACACATTTGAAGTCTGCCTCAACACCTGCAAAAAAGAGAGAAAACAAAACTAAACAGAAAAAAATAAACACACCAACAGACTACGTGCGTGTATAATAATGATTATAGCTTCACTCAAACAAGCAAACACAGTCACAACGTAGAGTGTATCTGAGAAAAACCTGGCTCTAAACTACTGTTTGATTGATTGATAATGATTTTATTGTCATTGTACGAAGCACAATGAAATTACATTTAAGAACACCCATTCAAGAAGACACACATGACAAAAACATGGGGGAACAGGTGATCATGTCATGCAGCAACCAGCAAGGGTCGCAAAACCTTTAAAAAGAAAAACTAAATACCACAGAAGGTTAGATGAGGAAAAAACAAAACATCATATTATATCAACAAAAMGTGACACACTATGGTGCTTATAAAAAATACTCTACAAGCAAGAGCACATTTATTAGCCAGAGGAGTAAGTGAGTTTAGAGGGCGTGTATCTGAAGCCATGAATGTTGTATGCACTTGTGTGAATATCTGAAAAATGAGTCGGAATAATCCAGTCCCCAAAAGATGAATCCCATGGTTCAGCCATTGTCCAGAATATTGGTGTTGAATTGTTCATTCTGTGCAGCTTCAGGTTGTCCTTCAAGGGATCAGATTACAGATTGGAGTGAGGGTGGGGGGTGGGGGCATTGATGTAAACACCAGGAGGAATTTGGTTCCACAGCCTTTTCAAGGTCACGTGGGGGGGATCTGTAATCAGTTGTTTGGGAACAGAGAAAATGTTTTCGGTCAGGTAGACAATAATAATTTTCCATCTGACTTAATATCCGCTGGTACAACTCAAGSGGGCGAATCCAATCAGACAAATAGTGGGGACAATCCTGCCAAGCCGAGCTCTCAGCTTTCTCCAACATCAATTCCATCTGGCCAGCAAAGACCAGGAACCACAGCCAGCCCGTGACCCTCAGCATAACCACTTGCAGACCGAATCCCAGCTCGCTAAAGGCTAAAGTCTGAGTGCTGAAAGAATGGCAATCCTTCATATTGGTCAGGCAGCCAAGAAATGGCCTGAATAGACACTGACGCTGTTTTGTAGAACACCAGGAGACCACCAAGTCAATCTGTAGAATCCAGTAATCAGAATCCAAATATATATCCAGAACAGAGCAGAACAGAGGTCCCACCTTTGACATGTCCTCCCATGGAAGAAAACTTTGTTCCAAAAATTTATTAAGAGACCAGCTAAACAAATCCATAAAAATAATAATATCCATAATTTCTGGTTTCGGATGAAAACATAGAGAAGGCTCCCAAGCAGCAAATCAGAAAAGATCAGGAAGGYAAGGAGAGAAAGAGAGAAGGAAAAAGTGTGTGTGTTGTTGTGAGCACGCTTGTATATATATAAAGTTTCTCCATAGGAATGTTTAATATTAACTGTGTAGACCTAAATGATCACATCTGACCCCTAAGGCGGACATGAGGAAGACCAAATCCAAAGGCACAGAGAGCGCAAGCGCAGACCCCCCAGGGGTGCCACCGCAGGAACACCCGCACACCCAACCCCAGAGTGGAGCAGAGGAGAGAACTGGTGAACCATAGCAAAAACAATGCAGAAGCCCCTGGGGCCAGCAGCGACGAGCCCATAGGCATCCCCCGGAACCCACTACGCTGGAGCAGATCCAGCCGTGGACACAGAGTCCCAAGGACGCACCACCCCCAGCCAAGGCCCGACAGGGCCAGAGGACCAAGCACCACCAGGCRGATGGCACATACCCGAGCACCCAGCCCCAGACACTGACAACCACCAGCAGATCACAATCACATGTTCCCACCCTTTTGCACACACCTAATCATTCAAAGTAAACACACAAAATGGACTCATACTCCACTCACACTCACCATACACACTCTATACCCCCAGGTCCCAGAAACGCACCCACCACCCARTGGTGGCAGCCCACATCCAGACCCAGGAGGTAGTCCCCTTCATTCCGGGGTGGAGGGGAGCTGACAGCCAAACCTCAGCAGCAGCAGAGCCACTCATCAGTCTGGACGACAGCCGGGCATCCCACGAATGACCCCGGTCCAGACACCAGCCCCAACCCCATCCAGAGACACGGCCAGAGAAACCCACATGATCCAAACGAGCCAGCCAGCCCGAGCAGCCCCAAGACGGAACAATCTCAACCTCCCAGCAAGCCCCAACATCCACTCTATGTACCTTCCACACCCACTAAGGTCCCCACAGGACCACCCCCAACCAGTGGACTGACATCGAGCACATGCCCCCGAACACAGATGCAGCAAATCCTCCCTCTACATGGGGTGCACCCCCGCAGGAGTGCGCCCCCTCCACAGAGCCAATGAGAATGCCCCACACAGTGCGAGCCTCACACAAAGCTCCCACTCCAATCGCTCCCCACCACACTCCACCATATAGTGAGCCACAACAGCAGGGCCAAGGCCCCATACAACACCACCCCAACCCCACATACAGGGACAACGGACCAAATACCATCAAGCCATGCTACCACACCACCTCCCTGACCTGATGGTCAGCCCAAACCACCGACCAACAGCCCCCATCATGCCCCTGCAACCGTACAAATAAACCTGCATCACTGCCACTTCAACATCAGCCCAGGGACCGCCATCACCACCCAACGAACAAAGGACTTGCACTGAGAGACACACACAGAGAAGAAGCAGACAGAAGAAGCAGCAAAAGACCCACCCAGCGCACCAAAGACCAGGCACTATGATGTCATTTCCTCATCCAAAAAAACATACCCAGAGTGTTGCTTTGACTCACTCATGCATGTTTGAGAAATCCTTGAATCTGTAGCCACGTGGAGCTACTTAAACTCTCGCTGGTACGAAGCTCCGCCTATTTACACAAAGTTCCTCCCTGGAGCTCAGTCTGCCACYCAGAGCACCCCTTCCCCAAAGAATTGTTGTGAAGATGTGCTGAAGTGGAGGTTAAATATCAAGGCACTCAGATAWGAGAAGCTTAATTTATTTTTGATAAATACAGCKTTTTCATWACAACTGAAGGRAACAGTTAATTGATTGTGCCWGGAAAATACAAAATGCCACCCATTTAAAGACACACCTGTCAGATTGGCTGCCCTTCAAATACTCATGACATTTCAAACTGTGATGACATTGTTGTGTTTTTTCATCGTGGATTTTCTTTCTTTACTTAAAAACTAGCAAATCTTTCAGTCCTTCCTCTGATTTCACCTCATTACTCACAATCAGTGCTTTAAAAAATCAAACCTGACCTGTAAAGACTTTTCAGCTGAAGGTCTCGGGGGAACATGCACTGTGGGTTCAAGAGTCAGAGCTTCATCTTGCTTTCCAGCTGCTCGAGCATGAAATTGAATCAGTCTGCGGATAACTGCTGCCATCTAAAGGTTAGCAGGATGCACATGTGTGCAGAATCAGAGAATATTTGCAGATTTTACAGATTCATTCACACGATTATTAATATTTTATAGACTTCTAAACAAGTGTAAAAAGTTCACAAATATATATAAAAAACACACAATTACTTATTTTTAATTTACAGTACATGAAACCTGGAAGTCTCTGGTGCTTAAGTTGTCTTGCAGTGGGAGACTACGAGTCATGCATTGAAGCATGAAATTAAAGTTACTGATGGACACAGTCTGACACACACACACACACACACGCACACACACTTTATAAACAGTAACTATTTCTTCTCACATAAGGTCTACAATCAGAAAGTTTTCATATTCTAACATTTTATTTAAATACAAAATTATAAATATGACATGAGGTTATTTCTGTAAGTCTACCCTCGCAGACATTCCTCCATGGCCGTCAGTTCCTGTAGTTCAGGGCAGMTTGGGTCACAGTGAAGGGAGAGGATGTGTCTGACCTTAGGAATGACAGAAAGGGCTGCATCTCTGGCACCACTGGGTCAAGAGGAGGAAGAAAAAAAAAAAAACAATGATATTTCGATTAGTAGTATAAAAAATTAAAATTTCGGATGTTGTGTAAACAGTTATTGTCGTAGCTGTGACAACAGACTCCTCTCCGCATGCTAATGAACAGCTTTTAGCTTTAAAACGTACCCATTAAAGTGGAGCTGAGCCAACTTGAAAAGCTGCTGTCCCAGTTCCACGCTGTCTTCTCCATACTGGAAGCCAGTAGCTACAACACTCTGCTCCAGATGGACTGCTGCATTTTTCCAGTCGCCTGCAGAAACAAAGYAAAATAGAGAACGAATCGGTAAGAAAATGGCCAGCTACTACAGAGTAGTACAGAATAACCCCAAACTCATCAGTTTGGAGTGGAAAATGTTTTAATTTTACCGGATCGCCGTCTGCTCACCGTCGCTTACCGCTGCCGTGCGCAGTCAGTGTAAACACTCTCATTGATTATAATGGGTGCATATTTGCTGCGGAGGTCGGAGCGGAGCGGAGCCGGAACGCATGTAGTGTAAATTAGGGMTAAGACAAGCAGACAATCTTTCCAGGAATGGATGTTCCAGCAAACTCGCCCGAGGGAACAAACATATTACACCAAKTATGAAGCACGGTGATGTGGGGTTAATGATTTTAGCTAGGTTTACAGCKACAGGACCTGAGAACGAGGAACTCCTCTGTAGAGCAAAGTATGCTAGAGGCAAATTGAAGCCATCTGTCCAACAGCWTGGAGACAGCTTGGAGAAACTTGGAGCAAACAGAGTCAAAGCATTGGGCCTCTTGCAAGAACATGTCCGTATTCTTATCCTAAATTTCTCTTACTTTTGTTCGTACAAAGGGTTCGTACGAACATGTCACGTCAGATTCATCAAACTCTTCTATCTTCAGGAAAAGTGTGTAAATGAGGAGCGTAAACTGATGAATGCGTATACAGGTGCTGGTGCACGAGGAGAGGAGATTAGCATAATTACCAACCGAAAAACACCATATAAGGTAATGTACTTATGAATGGACACATACCAGGAGGTGTCCATTCATAAGTGACATCGCAAAGTAAAAAAGAAGAAATTTACGAGTTCAGAGATTGAAGTTCTGCTCTCCGAGATCCACACAAAAAAAGTCATTTTTAGCAGCGTCAGCTGTGGAATTAAAGGATCTGCTTTAAAGCRYAGGAATGAAATYACGACTGCTGTTAWTGTCGTGTCTCTRGTGGGTCGTAAAGTCACAGAAATAAAAATCTAAATCATATTTATCTCTCTCTGTATTCCTGCTCCGGCTTTTCTTTGGTCAAATATTTTTAATTTCAGTGTAAACAACTGTATTGCATAGTTTTCATTTATTCAGAAGAGCAGTCGCGCACCACAACCCTCCTCCCCCCTGACCATCAAGTGTCAGATGCGTTCCTGAAAAAAAAGCATTTTAAAATGTCTCAAAACTTCAATTAACTTCATATAAATATTGTAGTGCTATACAACAAAATTAATAGCCAATTTATTTTAATTTAACCAATTTATGTCGTTAGTCTACATTATTACATTTAAAATTATAACTAATTCAAACAGAATGGCCTCTTGTCAACATAATTATAGAGTGTGATTTATTTTCAACTTGAAATATCTTCAAACTAATGAAATATAAAGTTATTAATGAAGAAAATCCATCTGGATAACAGCAGACTGACTGCTCGTAAAATATACGACAGGTCTGGACCACTCGTGAATTTTGTTCGTTTCTGAAAAAAATCTTAGAATACGAAAACATTGGTGAATGCCACAAATTCTCCTAAATCACTTGTACGCACAACTTAAGAACTAATCTGTGCATACGAACAGTTCTTGCAAGAGGCCCAATAATCCCAAACCAAGCAGCAAATGTTAAATACACCAAACTTATATAGCATTTTATCAAGCCCCAAGAGGACCCCAAAGGACTTTACACTAGTCAATCACCCATTCACACACTGATTGGTCTATCTAAATCTACAATAAAATGTCTAAAAAAGAAAACAATCAACATGTTGCAATGATCCAGTCCAAGTCCAGACCTCAGCTTGATAGAAATGCTGTAGAAATGAAATGAACTGACAGAATGCTGTAAAGAAGAGTGGGACAAATTTCCTACAAAATGACATGAGAGACTGGGAGTCACATAGAAATTTACCTTTAAGCTAWTGCTGCTAAAAGTGATTATAAAAACTAGTTGATCACAGAGTGGACTTTGTTTTGCACACACAGCTTTTCCATGTCGTTTAATGATTAATGACTTGGTGGAACCTGTTGTGTGTTTTTGTGCATCTGAGGCCAGGTTTAAATTACTTTATAACCTTTTAAAAACCATGTCAATTTGAAAGAGGTTAGATTTTCTTATTTTATGACTTTATCTCTATAGCTGTAGTTAAATTCTTGTAAACACATCAGTTTCTTAAACTTTGTTCTTCCTGCTTTCAAYCTGAGCTCCAACCTACTCTTACTTCCTGGTTCCCTAACCCTTAGATCTGCAGTTTGAGGATGGGCGTATCCCGATGCGGACTCCTGACTGTACTAAAGCATGATTTGTAGATCAGAGCAGGATCTATTTCCGTTTGCAAAGAACTGAAACTTAACTCCCACAGTATTTGAGAGGTAAAATGGCACAGATACAGAAAGGAGTTCAGCTGGACCAGGACAGCTTTGTTTGTTCAATCTGTCTGGATCTACTGAAGGAGCCGGCCACTATCCCCTGTGGACACAGCTATTGCATGGACTGTATTAACAGCTTTTGGGATGAAGAGGAGCAGAAAGAAATCCACAGCTGTCCCCAGTGCATGAAAACTTTCCCATCACAGCTCATCCTGGAGAAAAGCACCATGTTAGCAGCTTTAATGGAGCAGCTGAAGAAGACAGGACTCCAAGCTGCTCCTGCTGAGCACTGCTACGCCYGACTTGAACACGTAGGCTGTGATTTCTGCACTGGAAGGAAACTGAAAGCCGTCAAGTCCTGTTTAGTTTGCCTGGCCTCTTACTGCGAGGAACACCTTCAGCCGCATTATGATTCAGCTGCGTTTAGGAACCACAAGCTGGTGGAGCCCTCCGAGAACCTCCTGGAGAACYTCTGCTCTCTTCACAATGAGGTGACCAAGATGTTCTGTCGCACTGATCAGACGTGCATCTGTTTCCTTTGCTCTGTGGATGAACACAAAGGCCACGACCTGGTCTCAGCTGCTGCAGAGAGGGCTGAGAGGCAGAGAGAGGTCGAGATGAGACAAGACAAAATCCTGCAGGAAATCCTGGAAAAAGAGAAAGGGCTGAAGCTGCTTCAACAAGAGGTGGAGACCATTAATCTGTCGGCTGATAAGACATTGGAGGACATTGAGAAGAACTTCACAGAGCTGGTCCATCTCATCCAGACACAACACAACGATGTGAAGCAGCAGATCAGCTCCCAGCGAGAAACTGAGCTGAGTCGAGCTAAAGATGTTCAGAAGAAGCTGGAGCAGGAGATCGCTGAGCTGAAGAGAGAAGCCGCTGAGCTGAAGCAGCTCTCGAACACAGAGGATCCCAACCAGTTTCTACGCCGCTACCCCTCAGCGCCGGCACTCAGCGGGTCCAKACAGCCAACCAGCGTCAACACCCGTCCTTTGAGGTTTTTCGAGATTGTGGCAGCAGCTGTGTTCCAGCTCAGGAACAAACTACAGAACWTTCTGGGACACAACTATAGAAAGATCTTACAGATGGTCACTGATATGAGTGTTTTACAGTCACAACCAGAGCAGAAGAGCAGAGCTGACTTGTTTAAATATTCATGTAAAATCACACTGGATCCAAACACAGCGTATTCAAAGCTGCTCCTGTCAGAGGGGAACAGGAAAGTGTCCTTAACTAATCAACATCAGTTCCGTTCCAATCATCCAGACAGATTCACTGAGTGGAATCAAGTTATGAGTAGAGAGAGTCTGACTGGACGCTGCTACTGGGAGGTGCAGTGTGGCAGGATGGTTTATATTGCAGTCACCTACAAGGATATCCGCAGAGCAGGGGGTGGGAATGACTGTGGATTTGGACGCAATGACAAATCATGGGCATTATATTATTTCCAAAATGGCTACAAATTTTTTTACAACAACATCTCCWCCTCCATCTCAGGCCCTGTGTCCTCCAGAGTGGGAGTGTACCTGGATCACAGTGCAGGGACCCTGTCCTTCTACAGCATCTCTGAGACCATGACTCTCCTCCACAGAGTCCAGACCACCTTCACTCAGCCACTCTACGCTGGATTTCAGATTTACGGCTCTGGAACCACCGCTAAAATCTGTTAACTCTTCTAAAGTTATATTCTGTCATTATARCTGCGCACAAAGTGTCCACTTTATGCAGATGACTTACAAATCTACTTATCTCTTAAACCAAATATGAGTAATGAGGTTTTCTCTTTTTTTAGACTGCATAACGACTGTGGCTAAGTAAAAACTTTTTTTTAAATCACCAAKAGACTGATTGTATTTTATTTGGTGATATTGCCACTACAGATGTCAGTGCCCTGCCTTTAAAACTGTCAGAAACCTAGGGGTTTAGATTTAATTATTTAATTTAAATAACAAATTGACTCTTTAGTCAAATCCAACTTTTACCATTTATGTCTACTGACCAAAAAATCAGTTTTAAATCGCACAGACTTAGAGAAGGCCATTCATGCATTCATTAGTTCTAGACTCATTTTTTGTAATGGACTTTATATTGTTGTCCCTCAGTCCTCCCTAAGATGACTTCAACTTGTCCAGAACCATCTTTTAACCAACACCTCTAAACAACCGCATATCATCCCTGTTTTATCCTCTTTTCAATGGCTTCCTGTCCAATAGAACTGATTTAAAAATGTTTTTAAAGCTCTTAATAGCATTGTCCCGCCTTATTTATCTGAATTTTTAAGACTTGCATGGTAGATCCCTGAGGTCATTAAATCAGCTTGGGAAAAAAAACAAAATTAATAACAGATTGATTGAGCTTGTTCCAGTTAGTGGTCAACAGCATACTTATAAAACCAGAATAAACTATTTCATTCATGCTAAAAATACAAGACTTAGAATCACCACTCGAACCTTTGCTTGGAGGGGCCCGCAGACCTGGAACAAGCTTGACGACAGCTTAAAAGGTTTGAAATTCATCTCCATCTTTAAAAAACAAGACCAAATTGCTTTGTTTATATATCTGAGACCACTTGTAGGACTTGTAATGGATTATAATCTGTGTTGTATTTGGTAAATGGTAAATGGACTGAACTTATAGAGCGCTTTTCAAGTCCCTCCGGACCCCAAAGCGCTTTACACTAACAGACATTCACCCATTCACACTCACATTCACACACTGATGATGGCAAAKRACACTGTAGCCACAGCTGCCCTGGGGCGCACTGACAGAGGTGGGGCTGCCATGCACCGGCGCCACCGGACCCTCTGACCACCATCATATATGGTGTATATATATATATCGTATATGGTGTGTAACAATATGTATGCATATCGTGTATTGTTATTTAGGTATTAAAAGTACCGGTATATTAAACTAACAAAATTGGACTAAGTACTCAGGCTCCTTTTACAAGCTTTTAATAGCTTCTCGGAGACCTGATATACACACAGGTATATTATAGCTGTGTACTATGTGAATCAGACATTTGGATTATTTTTTTTCTTATTTTGATTATGTGTGTGTGCATAAACTAAACTAAACTAAACTAAACTAAACTAAACTAAACTCTTTTTGTTTTGGATATACCAGGACAAGGCTAAAGCATTGGGGTGACTGAGCCTTTTTAGGAGCAGCACCCAGACTCTCTTTAGACCACATGTGTCAAACTCAAGGCCTGCGGGTCACTCCCGTGTGGCCTGCCAGGGGGGTATCCCCCACCCCTGAATGAAATTATATATATA